ACACACACACACACACACACACCATCTAAAATATTGGTCCTGAGATGGGTATAGTGGTGCACAACTATAATCTCAGTAACTCAGGAGGCTGAGGCAGGAGAATTACAAGTTCTAGGTAAACAACTTATATAGCAAACCTGTCTCAAAATAAAAATAAATAATAAAATTTGTTAAAGGACTAGGGATGTGGCTCAGTGGGTTAAGCACCTCAGGTTCCATCCTCAGTACCAAAAAGAAAAAAATATATATATATATATATACTGTCAGGAGGATACTTAATAGAAATCCTTCATCAGCTTCAGAGCATTAAGGGGTAGGATTTGGAGCTTTAAATTGGTCTTCTTTGCCTATCCCTTCCCATTGGACTAGGCATTCAACCTTGCCATTTAATCAGTGGGTTGCTGCTATATTTCCCATGCAGTAAGGATGGAAAACAGTATTCTCATAGTTAACCAGAGCTGAGCTGTGAGGTCTGTGAGTACAAAGAAGAATGATAACACATAATTTTTACAGAGCTGGAAATAGAAAGCCAGGGACAAAATGACTTCTGTAATCCTGAATGCTAAATGGCTCTATGGTATTTCAATTTTCAAAGAGAACTGCACCTTTGTACTAAAACTATACATATTTTCTCAGTTATCAGAGTTGTCATTCATTTTACACTGGGGCTGGGGCTGGGACTGAGTGGTAGGGTGCTTGCCTAGCACACAKGAGGCCCTGGGTTCAATCCTCTGCATCACATAAAAATAAAGGTATTGTGTCCACCTACCAGTATTTTAGAGGCTGTCATAAGCAGTTCCTTTATTTGCTGTTTAATGCTGGGGTTGTATTGGTACAAACTAACAAAAGAAGAAATTGTGGCTGTGGACACACAATTAAATTGTACGAATTTCACAAAGGCATGTTACTATTAGCAGGACAACAGAAGCAGAAATACTCCAGCTTACAGTAATTATGCTTTGAATAGCTTACTATAGATTTGCTGAACGGAGAAATGACTTTTGAAACTACATTGTAATCTGAAGGTTATGATCAAAAATTAGACCTTTGCATAATCCCTGCAGAGGTTATGTATGATGAAAAGTGCAATGATTTCTAGTCAAAACTAGAAAATGATTAGTGAAGGTAATGAATTGTACATYATTTAGATACAAGAAAAGCATTGTCTATGGGACATCCATTATGATGTTACTCTAAGGGTATTAAAGACATGGAAGTAGATGTTTGTAATATTCCAAGCCTTGACTCCACTCCAGGTTTCACAATGCATCTTCATGAAGAAATTAGTGTAAATGACGTTATATATATGCTCTGGGAAAAAAATTCATAGATGTTACTTACTATTTTTACCTTTTTTCTTAAAATAACTGATTTCTGTTGCTTGCAACCTAAATAGTCTTAATACATAGGAAAACTCATAGTCCAAGGTTGTGACTTTACACTATAAACGTATTTATTATAAAAAAGTATTTATTATAAAAGTATTTATTTGTAGAGATATGCCTGTACTAGTTTAGGTAAGGAGATCCATCTTGCCCTAATTATAAAATCGAAAGGGTAAGATCTCAGATCACAGCAAACCCTAATTTGAGCCATCTTTGGCCCTTACAAACTGCTTGCTCTTGGGAAAATTATGTAACTTCACTTTAAAGTGGAAATAATGACTGCGGCTGTGCATACTCGTTACATAACACATCCTGTTGCCGATCTTTTACTGGGTATGCTCTAAATGGTAAATACCACTAGGAGAGGCAGACAGGAAGGGGCGGAGCGCCCGCCGGCCCAGCACCGCACCCGAGCTAGCGACCGCTGCGGGARGCGCGGGTGAGCCCGGCGGCCACTTTGCTATCCCGGCCCTTTGGTCCTGGCCGTTGCTCCGGGGCCGGCAGAGCCTACGATGAACCTCGGTTCCAGGCGCTGGGCAGGCAGCGATATTGGGTCCATGGCTCCAGCGATGACTCCGGTGGCGGCTCCGTTGTCCCTGGCTGTCAAGGCCCCAAACCCGGCAGCAGCCCCCACCTCCTATGGGGTCTTCTGCAAGGGGCTCTCTCGCACCCTGCTCGCCTTCTTCGAGCTGGCCTGGCAGCTACGGATGAACTTCCCGTATTTCTACATCGCAGGCTCGGTGATCCTCAACATCCGTTTGCACGTACACATTTAGAAAAGTGACTAAGCTGCCGGCCTTGGGCGGCTAGCATGATGGCCGACTCCCAGGCATCCCCGGGACTTAGTGAACCTGCGAGCGAGGAGCTCGGAGTTCTCGCGAGGGGCCCGGACGCACTCCGCGCCTGCGCTCTGCGCTCCTAGCCTTCCCTGGACCGTGGCGGGACCCCTGCTGGGACCAAAAAGAGGCCTTAGGGGACCGGGAACTGAGACCTTCGGCTAAAACCCCCCAAAATCAGAAACTTTGTATTCTTAAACTCCGATCGAATTCCAGGATATAACAGAAAGGCACAGAATATATCATTAAAAAGGAAGACCGAATTTTTCTGGAAAAAAAAAAATTGTGCAACAAATTCATGGCCTGAGTGAAAATTAAGAAATCAGTAAACTTAGGGAATACCGGTGTGGATTGTTAGC